AGAGAGAGAGAGAGAGAGAGCGAGAGTGTGTGTGTGTGTGTGTGTGTGATTCTGAAACACCTGATCAGCGCTTTTTTTATCCACTAGATGTCAGTGTTACATTCTATATTAATATTTTGCTTAAAATCTCTTTCGTTGTGTGTATTTTATTGGTAGGCTACTTTCTAAACTCAACAGTCTGAATGTTGTTTAGGAAATTCATTATTGAAAATGTATGATTAACACATTAAGTAACGTGAACAGAAAACAACGCCAACACATGCAATCAACTGAATAATACTGCTAGTAACAACAATAATTATGTTAATAGTAGATAAATAAGGCGAATAACAATAAAACATATATATATATATCTTTTTTTTTAATTAATGTAAGTTCATATAAAGGCTACATAAGTAATTAGCCTTCGTTCTTCATAAATCACAAAGTAAACAAAGCTGTATGAAATGCCTCAGAATGTGTTGTATTGTAGAGACAATAAAGAATAAGAAATGGCACTGAAGAGCACTAGGTGCAGAAACGAGTCTCTGGAGTGTGTGCGGATGAGGCGGGGGCGGGGCTAGCGCTGATGACGCCGCAGCGCACCGGCGAGTGGCTCGGATTATGGTGTGTGGGAAGACGTCTCTCGCTAAGGAGGTTTTCGGGGAAACGTTGAACGAGAGCCGCGACCCCGATCGCCCGCCTGAGCGCTACACGGCGCGCTATTACCTAAAGTTTACTTTCTTGGAGCAGGCTTTCGACCGGTTAGCCGATGCCGGCTTCCACATGGTGGCCTGCAACTCCACGGGGACGTGCGCCTTCGCTCACGAGCAGACCGACGACAAAATCTGGGCCAGCTACACCGAATACGTATTCTACCGTGAGTGATCTTAAACCCTGCCTCCCAAGCCAGAGATCATCTGCAGTAGATGTAGAAACCGTCCATCAGACTTTCCCACACCAGAGCCCCTAATGCCTCTTCCCCGCGGCGCTCGAGTAACCTTTCTTCCCTCCAAACCACCCCTTCACCGAGAGACTGCCTTCCCCTTGCTCAGCTTTTGATGCTGTTGTCGATGTGTTTAGTCGAGCTAAAAGTTGGGGATGAACTGCTAAACTAGGCTTGAGCCATTCGAAAGGGCTTCTCTTGAGTCACTCAAATTGTCGGACAAATTATAAAGCTTCTGAGTTGTTCGTGATGCGAAATAGAGATGTGATAGATTATGTAATTTGGGTCATTATTATTGTATCTAGCCCTTTGAAAGGGGCCAAAGGAGAGAGAATCCACTAGGTTATAAAACCATCTTTATGGATAGATGCAGACCAGAAGATGAAACCATGCAGACTATTTCAATTGTCAAACTATTTTTAACTAGCATTGAGGAATAGTGTCAAAAGCAGGTTTGGATTTAGTAAGCATTAATAAAAAAGCACCTGAAAGTGCCGTGTTATTAAGCTTTCTGTGTTTCACTTGTGTAAGGCTAGAGGATACGAGTCCAAACATTGTGCTCGGAAGTTTTATTTTCCAGCCTGCCATTTGTGTAAATTCTTTCATATGCTTATATTGTTGTTTATTAAGTTAAATGCTTCACATTTTAATTTATCTTATTAAAATTTAAAGATGCATACATTTAGTAATTGATGTTTGCATATCTTAAGCCATAGCCTGTTATGAAACACCGTCTATTTTTTAATCACGCAAATGATATTAGTTAAGTAGATATTTTCTTCTTCATTAAACGCAGTGCCGTTGTTTGACACTGCGTTAGACGTGACTTTTAGAGCTTTGAATTTCAGGTATTTCCATTGTAACCTCAGGCCAGAATTGCCATTAACTCAAACACAGGCACAAAATCTCACAGTTATGAGATGTCATTTGAGATAATACATATCAGCCAGTAATTTATTTCATGTCAATCAGAAATGCACTTAATCCCTTAATCTTACTTTCCTGATGTTGTGTTTTAAAGGTTATGTCCGGGCATTGTTTAAAGTGCTAGCCTCAAAGTGTCTTTATGAAAGCATGAATTATTCATAGAGTATATTGTCCTAAATATAAAACCAGTGTATGATATACAAACACATTTCCTGATATATCAATGAAATGAAATCAAACTTAAATTAAAGCAACAGTTAATGCTCTATTTAGACAAGCTAGTCTTTCATGTCTCAGTTTCAGTGCCTCATTCACCAGAGAAATTTCTGCATTGAAGACCATTTTTGCAAGCATAAAAGATTAAGACTACACTGTAAAAAATAAATCCGTAAAATAACAGGAAAAGTACTGGCAGCTCATTACACGCGACATTATCCATTAATTTTACAGACATTTCTGTTAACCCTAAAAAAACAGTGTAAAATTCAAAATACTGGTAAAACACCTGTAAAAAATAAATATGGAAAAAATCCTTCAAATTATACAGTATTGTGCCCTATTTTTACAGATTTTTGTTTGTGTGTGTAGTAATAAAAGTCAGAATCAGCATGAGATTCACTAATATATATATATGTATTTAAATGTTTATTCTGTCATATGCATTCTGATAGCATTTTTGCAGGGTGAATATTGATACTGCGTAGCTCTGCATTGCTCAGTGAAAGTTAAAGAGAAAATGGAAGCATTACATCAGATTATTAAATCTTTCTCCCCCAAAGTCTCTTCTCCACTGAGTCCTCTGTTATCACGCTGCTTCCCAATTTCTCTCTTTCATTTTGCTCTCTCGTTCCCTCCGCGGAGACTTTAAAGCGTGAACATAGGCGAGGCCAGAATGAAAACCATGCAGGACAAACCTATAACCAGCTCAGTCAAAGCAGATTACCCAACCAGCCTTTGTGTTGCTGTGTCTAAGCCATCTAATTAAGTTTGCGCTGGCACACTGAGCAGCTCGCATTGTACTCCAGTGAGGAACTAGGGAAAAACATATTTAAATATCTTTTCAGCTCAGCAAATATAGAGATGATTCAAACTGAGATCGCTGATACAAGAGCTGAAATTATCCAGATGTCTGACACATTAACATGCCTTGTTATACGATGAGAGATAGGTGTACAGGTAACCAACATCAACATCACCTAAACATAGTCAACCATCTAAAACACTGCTGCATGGATTTATAGATCCTGGTATTAAATGTAATTAATTTAAAAACAATAAGCCCAAGTAACATCACAGACAATGTGTCGGAGACGTCCTAAAAATAAAAAATTTGGAGCACCAACTTTTCACAATTATATCAATTTCCTGTTTTACTTATAAATATGTTACACCACAGAAGTCAAATGGGTTAGGAATGCCAATTTATTTGAGTGTTTGTAGATGCATATCACATCTAAGCTCTGTGCAATAGCTAAATGGTGTAGTGATTTGTGACCGTAAACAGCCGATCCTTCAGTCTGGCCAGTGGTGTAATTGTTGCATTGTGCGCTGGTGTTATTTATAGGGTCCAGGCACAGCTATTAAGCAGATGTTCTGCCTCCCTATAACTCCAAAGGCATAATCATAATAGGCACTAAGGGGGATATATCCCCACAATCGTAATAGGATTTTTCAATGACCGATTCTTGGATTTTTCCATTTGATTTACTGGAATCATTAATGTCTTCGGTCGAAGGCACACAGCTCTTGATGTGTGGAGGGGGTGATGATGCCTCGATCGATCAGCTGTACTAATTAAAAGAGGCAGTGAGGGAGAGGGACTTGAAACTGATCTGCTGACGTTGAGAAAGAGAGGCAGAACCTCTTTAGCCCCTGAACCGATAACCCGTGCTGTTCGGTCGTTGTATCATTTCGGTTTTAAAATGTGACAATTTTCTTGCTTTTCTGGGTTTGCTCCAGAGTAACAGATCTGAACACTCCAGAAGAGACTATGTCTCAAACCGAGTTCATTTTGTAATAATTCATTATGGACACTCATGATCTGAGCTACTAGTCCAATAATCCTCAAGGAATGTAAAGATTGCTATTACAATATCTGTCATAAATTGGAAACGGCAATCCACAGGGACCCTAATGGTGTCAAATAAGAATCCAATAATATCACTCAAACTGAAATGCTTATTGTTTAGTGCAACAGAATCTTTATCTAGATGATTGGAGGATTCTTATGTGTTGCTATTACAAACCTTTGGCTCCATGTGATGATAGAAATTGCATTAACATTCCTGTACATTCCCTTTCGCTGTTGCTGCATGTCAAAATTGTCTCTCTTGTTTTCGTGGCAATGTCACACTGGATATTTTGGTGCAGAATCAGGCTCTTTTGAGCAGAGTTCAGATAGGGTTGGTGTGAAAGAGTTTTTCCACTAGGAATGAGGACATTTTGGGGTACAGTTCAGGTGGTATGGTTCACAGTTGAAACAGATCCTAACTTGATGATGTATACTTTACATTTTGCAATCTTTGCATGTTCCCAGTTACATTATATAAAACTGTATAATGTAATCATAGTATGATGCATTCCTCCTATTGCTTGTCTATAAATAAATTGCTTTCAGAGTACCTCACATTCTTTGGATCTCTTGCATCCATTGATCTGTGCAAAGAATTCACAAATACTTCAATAATACAGTGAACTTGGTGTCTTTGCCACAGTTATCAACCAAATAACATACAATGAAAGAAGACCTGTGGGGACAGAAGGATGTCGGTGGATTTGAACTCCGGTTCAGATTGAGCAACTGAACCATTAAAAAAAAAGCATCAGAAAATGGCATTTTAAATAAGTAGAGAATGAGACATATGGTAGTATGGCAGAGCTATAAAGTGTATCTTTCCATCCTATGGGAACCAGGGTTACATACATAACCGCTCCCTTTCATAGGTTCACTCAGTACATCAGTAGCTGATGCTATGGCAACACTATACCACAGTGCCATACTACAAAGAGATTGCCAGTTTATCTGCCTGTGTGAACATACAGGCTTAGAAAAAAGGAAAATGAACTGACATGTGTTCAGACAGATGAACCTTGAGAACCAGTAGTCAAGTCCATGCCCAGATTATTAAATCATACAGATTTCCTCTCCACACAAATTTCCTCCAAAGATGAACCCTTAGATAATGCTTGTAGAAGTGTGACCCTGAATTAACAAATACATGCCTCATGAACAAGAGAAATCACATCCTTCACCAAATGCAACATATTTTGTTTCCTAGCAGCAACACCCCTGTGGCGGCCATCAAAGCAAGCAAACAGCTGATCATATTTATGCCACTGGTTTGTGCATTCAATCAAAATTCATAACGCCGTCACAGGAAAAAGCCAATGCAGTCTTTCAGTCTTCTGCGACTCAAAGGGCGAAGGAGAAACACTACATCCTGAGAGTCAAATAAAGTGAAAGCGACCTTAGGTAAGTAACCTAGTTTGGTTGCAACAAAACCTTCACCAGACCAGGAGCGAAATCCATATAGGATGGGCTAACCAATCAGGCCTGTAAATCATCAACCCAACAGCAATGTCAATGTCAAGGCCAACAACAAGACCATCTTATAAATCAGAATTATAGCAGTTTTTAGCCTGTCAGCATGATGCAAACATCAAATATCAGACATACAGTAGTAGTTCTTTACAGGTTTTTTATTGCACAGCTTTTCCATGGTTTTTTCTATGTAAGCATAGACGTGTTTGACCATTGTGTTCGCATCTCATGCATGAAACGGCATTCTAAAAATGCGGCGCTCTAGTTATTAAAAGATGTTCAACTCCCATCTTCTTGCATGTTTTTCCTATTCCACTGCCCGCGTCGCATCTCTGTCAACACAAAAGCGCATTCTGTGTGAATGGTGCCTAATGGTCCTTCACAGAGCGCGTCACATGTGCGCCGACATGCGGTTGGATCGTTCTTTTCTCTTTACTGTTATTGTCAAAGCGTCTAATTCTAACGT